CAACACACAGGTCACCACACAACACACAACTCACCACACAACACACAACACACAGGTCACCACACAACACACAACTCAACACACAACACACAACTCACCACACAACACACAACTCACCACACAACACACAACTCACCACACAACACACAACTCACCACACAACACACAACTCACCACACAACACACAACTCACCACACAACACACAGGTCACCACACAACACACAGGTCACCACACAGGTCACCACACAACACACAGGTCACCACACAAAACACAGGTCACCACACAACACACAGCTCACCACACAACACACAACTCACCACACAACACACAACACACAAGTCACCACACAACACACAGGTCACCACACAACACACAGGTCACCACACAACACACTGGTCACCACAAAACACACAGCTCACCACACAACACACAGGTCACCACACAACACACAACTCACCACACAACACACAGGTCACCACACAACACACAGGTCACCACACAACACACAGCTCACCACACAACACACAACTCACCACACAACACACAACTCACCACACAACACACAACTCACCACACAACACAACACACAACTCACCACACAACACACAACTCACCACACAACACACAACTCACCACACAACACACAGGTCACCTCACAACACACAGGTCACCACACAACACACAACTCACCACACAACACACAGGTCACCACACAACTCACCACACAACACACAGGTCACCACACAACACACAACTCACCACACAACACACAACTCACCACACAACACACAACTCACCACACAACACACAGGTCACCACACAACACACAACTCACCACACAACACACAGGTCACCACACAACACACAACTCACCACACAACACACAACTCACCACACAACACACAACTCACCACACAACACACAGGTCACCACACAACACACAACTCACCACACAACACACAACTCACCACACAACACACAACTCACCACACAACACACAACTCACCACACAACACACAACTCACCACACAACACACAACTCACCACACAACATGTAGGGTAGCAGTCTACGAGTACCTGGGAATATGAGTTGCCATGAGAACATCAGACAGGCAAATACGATGTCTGAAAGCATGGAGCAACGGACAGGCTTAACTTATTGACACCTGACCTGACCTGAGGGTGTCAGGACCTGACACCCTCACCAGGGGTACCACCACCACCACCACCACCAGGGGTACCACCACCACCACCACCACCACCACCACCAGGGGTACCATCACCACCACCACCACCAGGAGTACCACCACCACCACCACCACCACCACCACCAGCGGTACCATCACCACCACCAGGGGTACCACCACCACCACCACCACCACCACCACCAGGGGTACCACCACCAGGGGTACCACCACCACCACCACCACCACCACCAGGGGTACCACCACCACCACCAGGGGTACCACCACCACCACCACCACCACCACCACCACCAGGGGTACCATCACCACCACCACCACCAGGGGTACCACCACCACCACCACCACCACCACCACCACCAGGGGTACCACCACCACCACCACCACCAGGGGTACCACCACCACCACCACCACCAGGGGTACCACCACCACCACCACCACCACCACCACCACCAGGGGTACCATCACCACCACCAGGGGTACCACCACCACCACCACCACCACCACCACCACCAGGAGTACCACCACCACCACCACCACCACCACCACCACCACCCCCACCACCAGGGGTACCACCATCACCAACAGGAGTACCACCACCACCCCCACCACCACCCCCACCACCACCACCACCAGGGGTACCACCACCGCCACCACCACCACCACCACCACCCCCAACACCAGGGGTACCACCATCACCAACAGGAGTACCACCACCACCACCACCACCACCAGGGGTACCACCACCACCACCACCACCACCACCACCACCAGGGGTACCACCATCACCAACAGGAGTACCACCACCACCACCACCACCACCCCCACCACCAGGGGTACCACCATCACCATCAGGAGTACCACCACCACCACCAGGGGTACCACCACCACCACCAGGGGTACCACCACCACCACCACCACCACCACCACCACCACCACCACCACCAGGGGTACCACCATCACCACCACCACCACCAGGGGTACCAACATCACCAATAGGAGTACGTACCACCACCACCACCACCACCACCACCATCACCACCACCACCACCACCACCAGGGGTACCACCACCACCACCAGGGGTACCACCACCACCACCAGGGGTACCACCACCACCACCAGGGGTACCACCACCACCACCAGGGGTACCACCACCACCATCACCACCACCACCAGGGGTACCACCACCACCATCACCACCACCACCAGGGGTACCACCACCACCATCACCCCCACCACCAGGGGTACCACCACCACCATCACCACCACCACCAGGGGTACCACCACCACCACCACTAGGAGTACCACCACCACCACCAGGGGTACCACCATCACCAATAGGAGTACGTACCACCACCACCACCACCATCACCACCACCACCAGGGGTACCACCAACACCACCACCACCATCACCACCACCACCAGGGGTACCACCACCACCACCAGGGGTACCACCACCACCACCACTAGGAGTACCACCACCACCACCAGGGGTACCACCATCGGGGGCCTGGCGCGGAAGAGAGATTAAGGCTACCAAAATCAAGAAAGGAAGTGTATCACCAGGATCACTTCAGGGCCTAAGCCCTAGTCTGAATGAACCACATCATGCCAACCAACACAGTTACCTGCAACACAGGTGGCCATGTAGATCAACAATCACCCATTAAGTCATAGGTATTCACTGGTATGCCTGATGAAGAAGAGACAGCGACGAGCACCACCTTCACATGGAAGTGTTCCTCACCAAACTGACCCTCAACACGCCTCATACATTAACTGATAAATTAGTGCCATTTATCAAACGACATAAAATTCAATTGAGAAAACCTGTGGGTCCAATAGTCGGCTTTAACAGGAGATTGTTTCAGTGTGAACAATTAAGTAGATGTATATTAAATCTTGAATATCAACGAAGTGAAATGAAATGGTGTGGACATTGAGAATGTGTGTGTGTGTGTGTGTGTGTGTGTGTGTGTGTGTGTGTGTGTGTGTGTGTGTGTGTGTGTGTGTGTGTGTGTGTGTGTTTACTAGTTGTGTTTTTTCGGGGGTTGAGCTTTGCTCTTTCGGCCCGCCTCTCAACTGTCAATCAACTGTTTACTAACTACTTTTTTTTTTTTTTTATTCCCACACCACACACACACACACACACCCCAGGAAGCAGCCCGTGACAGCTGACTAACTCCCAGGTACCTATTAACTGCTAGGTAACAGGGGCACTTAGGGTGAAAGAAACTTTGCCCATTTGTTTCTGCCTCGTGCGGGAATCGAACACGCGCCACAGAATTACGAGTCCTGCGCGCTATCCACCAGGCTACGAGGCCCCTGTGTGTGTGTGTGTGTACTCACCTAATTGTACTCACCTAATTGTGCTTGCGGGGGTTGAGCTCTGGCTCTTTGGTCCCGCCTCTCAACCGTCAATCAACTGGTGTACAGATTCCTGAGCCTATTGGGCTCTATCATATCTACATTTGAAACTGTGTATGGAGTCAGCCTCCACCACATCACTTCCTAATGCATTCCATTTACTAACTACTCTGACACTGAAAAAGTTCTTTCTAACGTCTCTGTGGCTCATTTGGGTACTCAGCTACCACCTGTGTCCCCTTGTTCGCGTCCCACCAGTGTTGAATAGTTCATCCTTGTTTACCCGGTCGATTCCCCTGAGGATTTTGTAGGTTGTGATCATGTCCCCCCTTACTCTTCTGTCTTCCAGTGTCGTGAGGTGCATTTCCCGCAGCCTTTCCTCATAACTCATGCCTCTTAGTTCTGGGACTAGTCTAGTAGCATACCTTTGGACTTTTTCCAGCTTCGTCTTGTGCTTGACAAGGTACGGGCTCCATGCTGGGGCCGCATACTCCAGGATTGGTCTTACATATGTGGTGTACAAGATTCTGAATGATTCCTACACAGGTTCCTGAACGCCGTTCTGATGTTAGCCAGCCTCGCATATGCCGCAGACGTTATTCTCTTTATGTGGGCTTCAGGAGACAGGTTTGGTGTGATATCAACTCCTAGATCTTTCTCTCTGTCTGTTTCATTAAGTACTTCATCTCCTATTCTGTATCCTGTGCCTGGCCTCCTGTTTCCACTTCCTAGTTTCATTACTTTGCATTTACTCGGGTTGAACTTCAACAGCCATTTGTTGGACCATTCACTCAGTCTATCCAGGTCATCTTGTAGCCTCCTACTATCATCCTCTGTTTCAATCCTCCTCATAATTTTTGCATCGTCGGCAAACATTGAGAGGAACGAATCTATACCCTCTGGGAGATCATTTACATATACCAGAAACAGTATAGGTCCAAGGACTGACCCCTGCGGGACTCCACTTGTGACGTCTCGCCAATCTGAGACCTCACCCCTCACACAGACTCGTTGTCTCCTGTTGCTTAGGTATTCCTGTGTGTGTGTGTGTGTGTGTGTGTGTGTGTGTGTGTGTGTGTGTGTGTGTGTGTGTGTGTATTCACCTAGTTGTACTCACCTAGTTGTGCTTGCGGGGGTTGAGCTCTGGCTCTTTGGTCCCGCCTCTCAACTGTCAATCAACAGGTGTACAGGTTAAGGTGTACAGGTGTACAGGTACAGGTGTGTGTGTGTGTGTGTGTGTGTGTGTGTGTGTGTGTGTGTGTGTGTGTGTGTGAGGATAAACATCAAGATGATGCAAGTTGAGTGATGCAAGGATGCACTTTATAACTAATTACCCGGTATTGCAAGCCTCGAGATAATAAACTAATTACCCGTTATTACAGGGGAATCCAGACTCGGGTTTCCTTAACCCTGACCAACGGAACGTAATGAGGACAGGTGAGCGGAACAGTGTGGAGGAGCCGTCAGAGGAGCCACCAGAGGAGCCACCAGAGGAACCACCAGAGGAGCCCCCAGAGGAACCACCAGAGGAGCCACCAGAGGAACCACCAGAGGAGCCACCAGAGGAGCCACCAGAGGAACCACCAGAGGAACCACCAGAGCCACCAGAGGAGCCACCAGAGGAACCACCAGAGGAGCCACCAGAGGAGCCACCAGAGGATCCACCAGAGGAGCCGTCAGAGGAGCCACCAGAGGAGCCACCAGAGGATCCACCAGAGGAGCCACCAGAGGAACCACCAGAGGAACCACCAGAGGAACCACCAGAGGAGCCACCAGAGGAGCCCCCAGAGGAGCCCCCAGAGGATCCACCAGAGGATCCACCAGAGGAACCACGAGAGGAGCCCCCAGAGGATCCACCAGAGGAACCACCAGAGGAGCCACCAGAGGAGCCACCAGAGGAGCCACCAGAGGAACCACCAGAGGAGCCCCCAGAGGAACCACCAGAGGAACCACCAGAGGAGCCACCAGAGGAGCCACCAGAGGAGCCCCCAGAGGATCCACCAGAGGAACCACCAGAGGAGCCCCCAGAGGAGCCCCCAGAGGAGCCCCCAGAGGAGCCCCCAGAGGAGCCACCAGAGGAGCCACCAGAGGAGCCACCAGAGGAGCCACCAGAGGAGCCCCCAGAGGAACCACCAGAGGAGCCCCCAGAGGATCCACCAGAGGATCCACCAGAGGAGCCACCAGAGGAGCCCCCAGAGGAGCCCCCAGAGGAGCCACCAGAGGAGCCACCAGAGGAGCCACCAGAGGAGCCACCAGAGGAACCACCAGAGGAGCCCCCAGAGGAACCACCAGAGGAGCCCCCAGAGGATCCACCAGAGGAACCACCAGAGGAGCCACCAGAGGAGCCACCAGAGGAACCACCAGAGGAGCCCCCAGAGGAGCCCCCAGAGGAGCCCCCAGAGGAGCCACCAGAGGAGCCACCAGAGGAGCCACCAGAGGAGCCACCAGAGGAGTCACCAGAGGAGCCCCCAGAGGAACCACCAGAGGAGCCACCAGAGGAGCCACCAGAGGAGTCACCAGAGGAGCCCCCAGAGGAACCACCAGAGGAGCCACCAGAGGAGCCACCAGAGGAGCCACCAGAGGAGTCACCAGAGGAACCACCAGAGGAGCCACCAGAGGAACCACCAGAGGAACACAAACAACAGCCAGTCTAGAGCACACACATACCAGGAGAACCTCCACAAACCCAGACACAGGTGCCAGAACACACTACAGTATACATCCTCCGTGTGACCACCTCATTACCATACACTCCCACCCTGGAGTTCCCACATAAAAATGCATACAACGCAACGAGTGAAAGTAGAGATACGCGCCTAGACTTGTCCCAGAGCTGTAGGCGACCCTGAGGGGCAGTGTGGCCTCAAACTTACCACGTTGGCAGAAAGGAGAACCTTGTGGGGGAATATGACAACGACGTACAAGGTAGTAAGGGTAGCCAAGGTGGACAAAGAGGCCATGTTTAAAATGAGAGGCGGTACAGCCAGACGGGAGCACAGCCGGGAACTGGAAACAGACAACCCGGAGAGATGTTAGGAAATACTTATTAAAAATTAGAGTACCCGAGTAAATGGAACGAGAAAATCATTGATACAAATTCAATAGGCAGCTTTAAAACGCAAGCACAACGACAAACAGAACACACACACACACACACACACACACACACACACACACACACAAGGATGTGTGTGTGTGTGTGTGGTGTTATAGATCTAGATCTATTTCTAGGCCCCAGGTGTTATACGCCAAGTAGTTAGTAAATGGAATGCATTAGGAAGTGATGTGGTGGAGGCTGACTCCATACACAGTTTCAAGTCTAGATATGATAGAGCCCAGTAGGCTCAGGAACCTGTACACCTGTTGATTGACAGTTGAGAGGCGGGACCAAAGAGACAAAGCTCAACCCCCGCAGGCACAGGCAAGAAAGAGAAGGGTGGGCAGACTGCATATTTTTGGATTGTCAGAAAGCCTTTGATACAGTACCACACAAGAGGCTAGTGAAAAAACTGGAGATGCAGGCTGGAGTGAAAGGGAAGGTACTCCATTGGATAAAGGAGTACCTAAGCAACAGGAGACAACGAGTCAGTGTGAGGGGTGAGGTCTCAGATTGGCGAGACGTTACAAGTGGAGTCACGCAGGGGTCAGTCCTTCGACCTATGCTGTTTCTGATATATGTAAATGATCTCCCGGAGGGGTATAGAATCGTTTCTCTCAATGTTTGCTGATGATGCAAAAATTATGAGGAGGATTGAAACAGAGGATGATAGTAGGAGGCTACAGAACGACCTAGACAGACTGAATGAATGGTCCAACAAATGGCTGCTAAAGTTTAACCCGAGTAAATGCAAAGTAATGAAACTAGGCGGTGGGAACAGGAGGCCAGACACAAGATACAGAATAGGAGACGAAGTACTTAATGAAACGGAAAGAGAAAAAGATCTTGGAATTGATATCACACCAAAACCTGTCTCCAGAAGCCCACATAAAGAGAATTACGTCTGCGGCATATGCGAGGCTGGCTAACATCAGAACAGACTTCAGGAACCTGTGTAAGGAATCGTTTAAAATCTTGTACACCACATACGTAAGACCAATTCTGGAGTATGCGGCCCCTGCATGGAGCCCGTACCTTGTCGAGCACAAGACGAAGCTGGAAAAAGTTCAGAGGTATACCATTAGACTAGTCCCAGAACTAAGAACCATGAGTTACGAGGAAAGGCTGCGGGAAATGCACCTTACGGCACTGGAAGACAGAAGGGTGAGGGGAGACATGATCACTACCTACAAAATCCTCAGGGGAATTAACAGGGTAGACAAGGACAAACTATTCAACACTAGCGGTACGCGAACAAGGGGACACAGGTGGAAACTGAGTACCCACATGAGCCACAGAGACGTTAGAAAGAACTTTTTCAGTGTCAGAGTAGTTAACGGATGGAATGCAGTGATGTGGTGGAGGCTGACTCCATACACAGTTTCAAATGTAGATATGATAGAGCCCAGTAGGCTCAGGAACCTGTACACCAGTTGATTGACAGTTGAGAGGCGGACCAAAGAGCCAGAGCCCAACCCCGCAAATACATATAGGTTATCTTGAGATCTTGAGGTTATCTTGAGATGATTTCGGGGCTTTTAGTGTCCCCGCGGTCCAGTCCTCGACCAGGCCTCCACCCCCAGGAAGCAGCCCGTGACAGCTGACTAACACCCAGGTACCTATTTTACTGCTAAGTAACAGGGGCACAGGGTGAAAGAAACTCTGCCCATTGTTTCTCGCCGGCGCCTGGGATCGAACCCAGGACCACAGGATCACAAGTTCAGCGTGCTGTCCGCTCGGCCGACCGGCTCCAGGAGTACAAATAGGTGAGTACACACACTCCTAAGTATTTTCATGCCAGTGAGATAAAGCGATACAAGCCAACCTTATATAGTTGCTGTCTCTGTTGCAAGCTTTACCAACCAGGCTGTCATTACGGGTTCATATCACCAGCATGTTTAATGTGAGAGTTAATTCCCTGAGACCTGAGGACCCCGGCCAGACCTCACCTGCCGCCCCGGACCCCCATCACCAATACACATAATACAATATAACAGGAACTACAATACATACAACATAACTACAAGCAGAACATGTGGCACCATACGTGTTGGCTCGGAGGTTGGGGGCCCGGAGTCCAGCGGAAGGGGCCCAGGAGGCTGGGTGGGGGCCCGGAGTCCAGCGGAAGGGGCCCAGGAGGCTGGGTGGGGGCCCGGAGTTCAGCGGAAGGGGCCCAGGAGGCTGGGTGGGGGCCCGGAGTCTGAGGTAATGGGAGGGCAGGAGAGAGGAGGACGGAGCCTGGTGATGTGATCAGGGAGGCGCGGGGTGTGGCCAGGTATACTTAGATCTGACCACCATAGTAACCTCGTGGACAGATCAGGTAAACCTGAGTGTATTCTCTTGTACATATTACTGTACACCGTACACTCTTACCGGTATACACCAAGTGTTATTGACTCTCATGTTACTCTCTGTTTTTATTTTACACTGTATTCTTGCTGTACCAGGCACACCTTACAGTCTTGCTGTACCAGGCACACCTTACAGTCTTTCTGTACCAGGCACACCTTACAGTCTTGCTGTACCAGGCACACCTTACAGTCTTGCTGTACCAGGCACACCTTACAGTCTTGCTGTACCAGGCACACCTTACAGTCATGCTGTACCAGGCACACCTTACAGTCTTGCTGTACCAGGCACACCTTACAGTCTTGCTGTACCAGGCACACCTTACAGTCTTGCTGTACCAGGCACACCTTACAGTCTTGCTGTACCAGGCACACCTTACAGTCATGCTGTACCAGGCACACCTTACAGTCTTGCTGTACCAGGCACACCTTACAGTCTTGCTGTACCAGGCACACCTTACAGTCTTGCTGTACCAGGCACACCTTACAGTCTTGCTGTACCAGGCACACCTTACAGTCTTGCTGTACCAGGCACACCTTACAGTCTTGCTGTACCAGGCATACCTTACAGTCTTGCTGTACCAGGCACACCTTACAGTCTTGCTGTACCAGGCACACCTTACAGTCTTGCTGTACCAGGCACACCTTACAGTCTTGCTGTACCAGGCACACCTTACAGTCTTGCTGTACCAGGCACACCTTACAGTCTTGCTGTACCAGGCATACCTTACAGTCTTGCTGTACCAGCCACACCTTACAGTCTTGCTGTACCAGGCACACCTTACAGTCTTGCTGTACCAGGCACACCTTACAGTCTTGCTGTACCAGCCACACCTTACAGTCTTGCTGTACCAGGCACACCTTACAGTCTTGCTGTACCAGCCACACCTTACAGTCTTGCTGTACCAGCCACACCTTACAGTCTTGCTGTACCAGCCACACCTTACAGTCTTGCTGTACCAGCCACACCTTACAGTCTTGCTGTACCAGGCACACCTTACAGTCTTGCTGTACCAGGAACACCTTACAGTCTTGCTGTACCAGCCACACCTTACAGTCTTGCTGTACCAGGCACACTTTACAGTCTTGCTGTACCAGCCACACCTTACAGTCTTGCTGTACCAGGCACACCTTACAGTCTTGCTGTACCAGGCACACCTTACAGTCTTGCTGTACCAGCCATAACTTACAGTCTTGCTGTACCAGGCATACCTTACAGTCTTGCTGTACCAGGCACACCTTACAGTCTTGCTGTACCAGGCACACCTTACAGTCTTGCTGTACCAGGCACACCTTACAGTCTTGCTGTACCAGGCACACCTTACAGTCTTGCTGTACCAGGCACACCTTACAGTCTTGCTGTACCAGGCATACCTTACAGTCTTGCTGTACCAGCCACACCTTACAGTCTTGCTGTACCAGGCACACCTTACAGTCTTGCTGTACCAGGCACACCTTACAGTCTTGCTGTACCAGCCACACCTTACAGTCTTGCTGTACCAGGCACACCTTACAGTCTTGCTGTACCAGGCACACCTTACAGTCTTGCTGTACCAGCCACACCTTACAGTCTTGCTGTACCAGGCACACCTTACAGTCTTGCTGTACCAGCCACACCTTACAGTCTTGCTGTACCAGGCACACCTTACAGTCTTGCTGTACCAGCCACACCTTACAGTCTTGCTGTACCAGCTACACCTTACAGTCTTGCTGTACCAGGCACACCTTACAGTCTTGCTGTACCAGGCACACCTTACAGTCTTGCTGTACCAGGCACACCTTACAGTCTTGCTGTACCAGGCACACCTTACAGTCTTGCTGTACCAGCCACACCTTACAGTCTTGCTGTACCAGGCACACTTTACAGTCTTGCTGTACCAGCCACACCTTACAGTCTTGCTGTACCAGCCACACCTTACAGTCTTGCTGTACCAGGCACACCTTACAGTCTTGCTGTACCAGCCACACCTTACAGTCTTGCTGTACCAGCCACACCTTACAGTCTTGCTGTACCAGCCACACCTTACAGTCTTGCTGTACCAGCCACACCTTACAGTCTTGCTGTACCAGGCACACCTTACAGTCTTGCTGTACCAGGCACACTTTACAGTCTTGCTGTACCAGGCACACTTTACAGTCTTGCTGTACCAGGCACACCTTACAGTCTTGCTGTACCAGGCACACCTTACAGTCTTGCTGTACCAGGCACACCTTACAGTCTTGCTGTACCAGGCACACCTTACAGTCTTGCTGTACCAGGCATACCTTACAGTCTTGCTGTACCAGCCACACCTTACAGTCTTGCTGTACCAGGCACACCTTACAGTCTTGCTGTACCAGGCACACCTTACAGTCTTGCTGTACCAGCCACACCTTACAGTCTTGCTGTACCAGGCACACCTTACAGTCTTGCTGTACCAGGCACACCTTACAGTCTTGCTGTACCAGCCACACCTTACAGTCTTGCTGTACCAGGCACACCTTACAGTCTTGCTGTACCAGCCACACCTTACAGTCTTGCTGTACCAGGCACACCTTACAGTCTTGCTGTACCAGCCACACCTTACAGTCTTGCTGTACCAGCTACACCTTACAGTCTTGCTGTACCAGGCACACCTTACAGTCTTGCTGTACCAGGCACACCTTACAGTCTTGCTGTACCAGGCACACCTTACAGTCTTGCTGTACCAGGCACACCTTACAGTCTTGCTGTACCAGCCACACCTTACAGTCTTGCTGTACCAGGCACACTTTACAGTCTTGCTGTACCAGCCACACCTTACAGTCTTGCTGTACCAGCCACACCTTACAGTCTTGCTGTACCAGGCACACCTTACAGTCTTGCTGTACCAGCCACACCTTACAGTCTTGCTGTACCAGCCACACCTTACAGTCTTGCTGTACCAGCCACACCTTACAGTCTTGCTGTACCAGCCACACCTTACAGTCTTGCTGTACCAGGCACACCTTACAGTCTTGCTGTACCAGGCACACTTTACAGTCTTGCTGTACCAGGCACACTTTACAGTCTTGCTGTACCAGGCACACCTTACAGTCTTGCTGTACCAGGCACACTTTACAGTCTTGCTGTACCAGCCACACCTTACAGTCTTGCTGTACCAGGCACACCTTACAGTCTTGCTGTACCAGGCACACCTTACAGTCTTGCTGTACCAGCCACACCTTACAGTCTTCTATGTGTTGTAAAGAGGAAGATAATTACCACTTGGGTATATTACAGTCCCTCGCGGCCTTCAAGAGCCGGAGGGGCTGTAATATACACACAACTCCAATAAAAGTTAATGGGCCCCTGCAAAATAAGAAATAATCACTCCAGCAGTTTCATCTGGTATTCTAGAGAGCCTCGTATCTATGGGTCACAGAGCAGAGTCAGCAGACGTCTAGAGGCTCCGACTAGCTAGACTTATGCTGGGACTGACGTATCTCTGGGAGTTTACACCACCTGCTGATGTAGATCTGACTAAATGTAAACTTTGACCGCAAAACTATACACATACTATACTCATGTAATTGAGCACAAAAATACCAAGCGTTTAAAAACAGCATTATTACCGATGCTTAAGAAATGTCATGTATTTTATCAGGGATGATACATTAATACAATTCCTCGCCTGGTATCCTAAGTTATATATATAAATAAATAGATAAATATATATATATATATATATATATATATATATATATATATATATATATATATATATATATATATATATATATATATATATATATATATATAATGTGTGTGTGTGAAATTCAAGAAAATTCACACCTGGTGAAAAGTGTGACAGTTTCAGATCACGAGGGAAGAATTGAAACCGGAATTTACTTAAGTACTTTCGTATTTAATAATACAGCTTCAGTAGGATCCTTGTAAAACCATTACATTCTTGTAAAGCATTTCGGGCAGGTCCTTAATCCTAATTTTCCCTGCAACACGACCCGCCAAATCGTTTACCACCACCTAATCACTGCTGGGTGAACAGAGGCTACAGTTAAGGTTTGGCACCCAGTAAATCCTCCCGGCCAGGATACGAACCCAGGCCAAAGCGCGCGCGAAACGCCAAGCGAGTGTGTTACCACTTCGCCACGGGGGACTGCTACACATACACCCAGTGTGTATAGTGCACACACTAAGCTTACACTGCCTGCATGGTGGCTACAATGATGGAATTAGATTACCTTCCTGTTTGTGTACCTGTTCCTGCACCTTGTGCACCTGCCTCCCTGCACCTCGTGCACCTGCCTCCCTGCACCTCGTGCACCTACCTCCCTGCACCTCGTGCACCTGCCTCCCTGCACCTCGTTCACCTGCCTCCCTGCACCTCGTGCACCTGCCTCCCTCCCTGCACCTCGTGCACCTGCCTGCCTCCCTGCACCTCGTGCACCTGCCTCCCTGCACCTCGTGCACCTGCCTCCCTCCCTGCACCTCGTGCACCTGCCTCCCTCCCTGCACCTCGTGCACCTGCCTCCCTCCCTGCACCTCGTGCACCTGTCTCCCTCCCTGCACCTCGTGCACCTGCCTCCCTCCCTGCACCTCGTGCACCTGCCTCCCTGCACCTCGTGCACCTGCCTCCCTCCCTGCACCTCGTGCACCTGCCTCCATGCACCTCGTGCACCTGCCTCCCTGCACCTCGTGCACCTGCCTCCCTGCACCTCGTGCACCTGCCTCCCTGCACCTCGTGCACCTGCCTCCCTGCACCTCGTGCACCTGCCTCCCTCCCTGCACCTCGTGCACCTGCCTCCCTCCCTGCACCTCGTGCACCTGCCTCCCTGCACCTCGTGCACCTGCCTCCCTGCACCTCGTGCACCTCCCTCCCTGCACCTCGTGCACCTGCCTCCCTGCACCTCGTGCACCTGCCTCCCTGCACCTCGTGCACCTCCCTCCCTGCACCTCGTGCACCTGCCTCCCTGCACCTCGTGCACCTGCCTCCCTGCACCTCGTGCACCTGCCTCCCTGCACCTCGTGCACCTGCCTCCCTGCACCTCGTGCACCTGCCTCCCTGCACCTCGTGCACCTGCCTCCCTGCACCTCGTGCACCTGCCTCCCTGCACATCGTGCACCTGCCTCCCTGCACCTCGTGCACCTGCCTCCCTGCACCTCGTGCACCTGCCTCCCTGCACCTCGTGCACCTGCCTCCCTCCCTGCACCTCGTGCACCTGCCTCCCTCCCTGCACCTCGTGCATCTGCCTCCCTCCCTGCACCTCGTGCACCTGCCTCCCTGCACCTCGTGCACCTGCCTCCCTGCACCTCGTGCACCTGCCTCCCTCCCTGCACCTCGTGCACCTGCCTCCCTCCCTGCACCTCGTGCACCTGCCTCCATGCACCTCGTGCACCTGCCTCCCTGCACCTCGTGCACCTGCCTCCCTGCACCTCGTGCACCTGCCTCCCTGCACCTCGTGCACCTGCCTCCCTGCACCTCGTGCACCTGCCTCCCTCCCTGCACCTCGTGCACCTGCCTCCCTGCACCTCGTGCACCTGCCTCCCTGCACCTCGTGCACCTGCCTCCCTGCACTTCGTGCACCTGCCTCCCTCCCTGCACCTCGTGCACCTGCCTCCCTGCACCTCGTGCACCTGCCTCCCTGCACCTCGTGCACCTCCCTCCCTGCACCTCGTGCACCTGCCTCCCTGCACCTCGTGCACCTGCCTCCCTGCACCTCGTGCACCTGCCTCCCTGCACCTCGTGCACCTGCCTCCCTGCACCTCGTGCACCTGCCTCCCTGCACCTCGTGCACCTCCCTCCCTGCACCTCGTGCACCTGCCTCCCTGCACCTCGTGCACCTCCCTCCCTGCACTTCGTGCACCTGCCTCCCTCCCTGCACCTCGTGCACCTGCCTCCCTGCACCTCGTGCACCTGCCTCCCTTCACCTCGTGCACCTGCCTCCCTGCACCTCGTGCACCTGCCTCCCTGCACCTCGTGCACCTCCCTCCCTGCACCTCGTGCACCTGCCTCCCTGCACCTCGTGCACCTCCCTCCCTGCACCTCGTGCACCTGCCTCCCTGCACCTCGTGCACCTCCCTCCCTGCACCTCGTGCACCTGCTCTCTTACTGTATTTATAAGTTTAAATCATTATCTAGTCTCGTGTAAACATTCCCAGGCTTGTCTATCTCCTTCCCTTCTCCTTAATCTTTTCTCATCTTAAACCCTCAAATCCCCCCTCCACCCAGCCTCCATTTCCCTCCCACTCCACTACCTGCTGGCCTTGCTGCCTATCTCCCTATCTTGACACCGTCTTGCCTGCTTCTCCACCCAGTAGAGCACCGTCTGAGATCTGTCCCTGGATATTCCTCTCCCAATGGCTGTACCGAGAACCAAACCCAGACACGGTGGAGTGGGTGGGGTGCCCCTCAGGTGGGTCAGTGTTGACCTACCTGGCTAACCGTAAGTAACCTTACGGTTACCTGGCGTCCATTTCTGGGCTCAACGTCCCCCCGCGGCCCGGTCCTCCACCAGGCCTCCTGGAGTGGTCAACCCGGCTGTTGGACGCGGATGCCCGTAGCCTGGCGTATGAATCACAGCCTGGTTGAACTGGTGTCCTTTGGAGGTGTTTATCGAGCTGTCTTGAACACTGCGAGGGGTCGGTTATCGCGTGAGTGGCCAACGTGTTTTGTCACAAGGCCGTGTCCATCACTCGTGCCTCTGGTTCACCAACCACGCTGCTCTGATGTCCTTTCCTTCCTGATTGTTCCGGGGTACTTGTAGCCAAGATGACCTGCTGATATTGCAGTCTCTCTCCCTCGACCACCTCGACTGAGGCTGTCGGGTACAACAGCCCTGAACCAGGAGCAGACTCACACTTGTTCTTCAGGTCCTCCTTCTGTTGCATGATCATACGTCTAATATTCTTTAATATTCAAATATGCTAACCATGCAATGAGACTAACGAGTCGCACTGCATGGCTTCTCCTGCACGTGTAGGTATGTTGACCTCTGTGCCCGCAGACGGGGCGTGACCTGACCTAACAGATGAAACCATCTCACAGTTATCGTGGCCGTGGAGGCCAGACTCCGCTACACATAGTAGGAGCCGCCAGCCAGAAGTAACAGCGGCGCTGTCTCAATACTGATCCTATGGGAAACGGAAGTATTTCTCATTACTCTAACATGTCTAAAGAGTTATCACAAAATCTAAGTATAATTCAGGAAACTTTTAAGACTTTTCGTGGAGTTGATCAGCTTTTAACAGCGTCACAGGTGTTCCGTTGACTGACAAGGGGATACCCTCAATACGTGTACCAAAGGGCTGACAAGATATCTCTAATATCTGCGGTTATCTTGCTCTTACCTGCCTAGGTTCCGAGGATGAACGTCCCAGCTGCCCGGTCTCTGACCAACTAACTGTTCGCAGCCTGATGAATGAATCATGAATCCACCCGTCCCATCACAAATCCTTATCCTGACCCCTTCCCAGTGCCATATAGTCGCAATGGCTTGGCGCTTTCCCGTGATAAATCCCCTTCTCGTTCGAGTACGGAAGCACCGAGAGGTGAAGTAGTTAAGTGTTGAGGAAGAGCAGAGCGCCTTGGTCAGGAATAGCACTTACGGTCTCTAACCACTGCCTCAGTGATGAGGACCTAGTCTCCTGCCCCGACACCACCACAGACCCGTGGGCCTGGTCCTGGCCACTCTAGGAATTGTTATAGACATATAACCAAATATAAAACGCAGTCAAATCATACTATTGCAAGATAATGCTAAATAAATTATTTGGGAGAATTTCAAAAGACCTTATCTTTAAAGAACACAATAAAGAAAACATCATAACTGCAAGAAAAATGACGGGTTGGATAACAGAAACCTTTCACACTGAAGATTCCAAACCAGTGAAGATACTTTATTAAGCACAATTGTTTTATTGAGTGGAATATTGTTGCACACTAACGGTCCCATTCAAAGCTGGAGAAATTGCTGACCTGTAGAGCGTGCAAAGATTTTTTACTAGTAGAATCAACTCAATAAATCATCTAAATTATTGGAACGAATTAAAATATTTAAATCAGTATTCTCTTGAGCGCAGGCGGGAGAGATACATAATAATTTACACGTGGAAAATATTAGAGGAGCTGGTCCCAAATCTTCACACCGAAATAACATCACATGAGACCAGAAGACATGGCAGGATGTGCAAAATACCCCCGTTGAAGAGCAGAGGTGCAACAGGTACTCTGAGAGAGAACTATCAACATCAGAGGCCCGAGACTGTTCAACACGCTTCCACTTCACATAAGGGGCATAACTGGCCGACCCCTCACAGTGTTCAAGAGGGAGAACT